GCCTTGTGGTAATTCTAGAACCCTACTTGAGAGTGAGGTGGGTGGTGTGCACTTGTAAGAATTACTGCCAACGCCTAGGATTCAAGTTCACCCTAACCCACAGCAGGAGCCTACCTCAAAAGCTCTTCCTCTAACCCTAACCCTCTGCTATAGGTTCCTGGGAGCAGGTGAGCTGGTTAGGTTTTGGCGGTTGGTGTCACTTGAGTTGATGGAGGCCCTAGGGAGTGAGGAAGGATGTAATTGCTAATTCGCTGTGGGCTGACTTGTGAGGTACATAGTGTTTCCTCTGGAGGAAGGAGGGGGGAGGCTGTGGGCCTGCAGGTGCAGTCATGAGACACACGCGGGGACAGGAATTAGTAAGTGCCTCTAAAAGCCTCGTGCCCTTCCTTTACCCAGTGAGAGTCTGTGTCTGCGACAGTGTCTTCCTCTTTTGTTACTGCTTGAGACCAGAACTGGCATTGACCTCTTGATTCTTTTGACTTTTTCCCCCTGTACTTTGAGACTCGATGGAAAACTCCTGGAAGTGTACATGTGGGAAAGAAATGTGGTGATAGCTGGGTGACCGCTGGCTGGAAGTGAGGGAGCAAGAGGAGTGAGTGATGCCCTTCTTCCTCCTTCCTCACCTTCCAGAATTCAAACCAGCCGCATGAGCTTTCTCCAAGGCCTCAGAAAACTCTCGCCACTTAGCATATAGATCAGACTGAGCTTGTGTTCAGGCAGTGTCTGTGTGGTGCTTGGTGGGTGGGTGGATGGATGCGTGTGTGTAGCCTCAGTCAGGTCATGAATACCAACCTTGAAGTCAGTGGGGGTACTGCAGGTCTCCAAGGTGGTGGGTTCTGTGCTTGGTCCTGATGGTGGCAGGGCTGGGAATGTTATCTTGGGGATCACATCACCATAGGTTGTATTTTCTTGGAAAAATGGTACTGAATAGCACCCCCTCCCGCCTTTAAGTTATTTTTATTTTGTGTGAGTATTTTATACACGTGTGCATGGGAGTCAGTTTTCTCTGCCTTATGAATCCTCCCCGTGTAACTCAGGTCAGCTGGCTTACACGTGCCTTTACCTGATGTTATGTCACCAGGACCCTTGTTATTGTGTTTGGAAAGGGAAAGTGTAGAATGGTGTTTGCTACATGTTTAGAAGCTTTCTGGAAAAGCTGAGGGTGGTGGTGGTGGTAACCCCTGATCCCAACACCCAGGGCAGCAGAATCCGGAATTCGAGGCCAGATCTGCATTCAAGAGACCCTAGACAGAAGCATAGGTGACAGCCTGGGTCAGTGGTGGCTTGGGAACTGGACCTTAGTATTGAACTAAGGAGTGTGATCAAACTACCAGGTGTGGGGAGAGACAGGCACCTCTGGCTGCTCCTTTATATATGCAGGTGTGAATGTGAGTGCACGTGTGTGCCTGCTTGCTGTGGAATAGAATATTTGTTCAAGTAAAGGTGTGTGACATTTTGTGTGTGTGTGTTGCAGAATAATTGTTTAACTGTGTAAAGGTGTGTTGCTTTTGTTAATGCTTCATTTAATTGTGTAAAGATGTGTTGCTGTTTCACCTTGCCTGCCTAAGGCACCTGATTGGTCTAATAAAAAGCTGAACGGCCAATAGCTAGACAGAGGAGGGTTAGGCAGGGCTGGTAGGCAGAGAGAAAAGGGGAGCCAGTCAGCCGTGGGTCAGCCCACCAGGGCCAGACAGACAGACAACAGAGGAAGCAGGACAGCAGGACGGACAGTATGTAGATGAGGTAAACTAGCCTTGGGGCAGCACTTAATAGAAATGGGCTAATTTACATGGTTTGTTTGTTTGTTTGTTTGTTTGTTTGAAAACTAGCCAGAAACAAGCCTGAGCTAAGGCCAAGTATTCACAATTCATAAGTCTCCATGTCATGATTTGGGGGCTGCTGGTCACAGAAAGCCCTACACATGGTTTGTGAAGGGCAGAGATCCACCTTACTGAGACAGTGTTTCCCACCAGACCTGGTCTTGTCTCTGGTGCTAGGCTGGCTGGCCATCTTAAGGTTACCTCAGACTCAAAGATGACCTCTTGCCTCAGCCCTTCCTGCTAGAAGGCACTGCCTACTTTGCTGCACTGGTGGACACAGGGAGCTGATTTTTTTCCCCGAGGTTTGAGGATTTCTTTCCATGAGGGGGGGCGGTGGAGTGAGAGTAGGGTGATGCCAAGGATCTGTGGGGATCAGGGTGTGTCTGAGCCTCTCAGGGGTCAGCTTTCCCTTTTCTTGCCTCTCCCTCTCCCCTCTCTGGGGGCCTGTGACCCAGCCATGGACCTTTTCCTGTAGATTTTTATTTTGTCTCAGCAAGGCAAAATTTGTGGTTAGAAGGGTGTGCCACTCACAAAAGCAACAGCAGAAGAGCAAGCACCCTGTTTTGTTTTTTTAAAGGCATGATCTCCTGGCTGGTCTCAAGTTCACTGTGTAGCTGATAGACCTTGAGCCTTGTTCCTCCTGATTCTGCCTTCTAAAGTGCTGGCAAGTACAAGCATGTACCACTATATCCCATCTTGTTGGAGTTTTTAAAACTATTAACTGTCTCACACCAGAAGGTTCCCTCAGAGAGCTAGCTGCTTCCAGTCCTTCTCTGGCTCTGCATTGTCATAGCACCACCTGATGGCCATTGGCTGTATGCCAGGACAAAATCTTGACTAGTAATTTCCCCTACTAGCACCTGACAGGGAACTGATTTCCATCCATTCTTTAATACCCTTGCTTTTACAGATGGAGAACCTGAGCATGGGGGCAACCTTAAGACTCAGATCTCAGGCTAGGAGTGGAGGGACGATGGGTTTCAGATGGGCTGTGGGGCCTGCTCCTTGTGCTGTGCCTGCCGTGCTGTGCCAGGCAGCTAACAGGAAAGCACCTCAGTGATGGTGTGGGCATTGTAGGAAAGTGGAGGCAGCAGAGGTCTGGGGTCAGGATGCCTTTGGGGCTTCATCTCAGTCTTGTGACTGGCCCAGGCCTCTGCTTCGTTGCCTTGAAGAGGTTACATCCCATGCCCTCTTTGCTGTTCTCCATTTGGGAAGGGTCCAGGGCCTGCTGAAAGGTGCTCTGGCTGGTGCTGTGATGTAATGTGGCAGTTACCAAGCCAGCTCTTGTTCAGACTAGTGGCTCACTTACAGAGTACCCAGAACAAAAGAGACATCCATGGTTAGTCTGTCACAGGATGGCTTATCACTGCTGGGGTCTCTTGGTGGACAGTGCTCACTGTGCTCTTCACATGTGGCCCTGGTGGAGCAGCATCCACACCTCCCTCTTGCATATTGCCCCCCCCCAACTTTTTCTGACCCCACCCTAGACATCCCAGCTGTGCCTCTTGATAGATGAGCTCTGTTCTGCACATGGCCTCTCCCAGATTCCCTCTGGCCACTCACTGGACAACATGGATGAGGGTTCGAACCAGCACAAATTGGGTGGACACAGCTTTCTGGTTTGACTTCTTCTGCCTCCTCATTGTTTTTTTGAGTCAGGGTTTCTCGGTGGCTTTGGAGGCTGTCTTGGAACTCGCTCTGTAGACCAGGCTGGCCTCCAACTCAGAGATCCGCCTGCTGCCTCCTGAGTGCTGGGAAGGCGTACACCACCAATGCCCTGCTCCACTGTGTTCTTAAGAACTGAGGTATGAAGCATACCTGATTGGGTGCTTGGGCAGCTATAACTCATCCAGTCCAGTGAGGAAGTCTGTCGTACCAGAGTTGTCTGGGTGCTAAAAGTGTCACAGTGGACTTGCTATGGCCTTTTGAGAGTGAAATAACATTCACCAGAAGCTCCTATAAGCTCGAAGGGCAGGGCCAGAGGTCAGAGAAGACCTTGGCTGTCTTCAGCGAAGGAAAATGGAACCCAACTTTGATTTCCTCCTGAGTCCCATCACCCTTCGCTTTCCACAGACTTGTCTCCCCTGGGACAGCTAGCTGTGAGGCCAGGGAAGGAGGGTGCCACATGGTGTTGTCCCCACGGTGGGGCAGGGGCTGCTGCCCAGAAGCCTTTGAGCTGCTATTGTGGTTTCTTGTCACAGCCTGATGACTCACTGAGCAGGGCCACAGACTAAATTCATAGTAAACCTGAGGTTAGCCACACCGGGTCTTTCCTAGGAACTTCACAGCTGGGCATTGATTGGCAATACCTACACAAGCCGTCTTCTTACTCTGAAAATGTCACCGGGACAGTGAGCACCCCAAATCATGTCTTGAAGTCAGCTGCTCTCAGCACCCTGGTGCCACCCCACTGTGCTGAGGCAGGGACTGAGCTCAGAAAGGTTTCTTGTTAATGTTGAGCAAAGGACTGGGTCACTCATATCTGCTACACTTGACATCGGTGTTTATTTCCTCAGGTTATTATCATGACCTATCACAGACTCGGGGCTTCAGAACAGCAGGCATGAGAGGGTGGGACAGGACCCCTGCCGCCTTCCTCACTGCATAAGCTTTTTAGGAACAGCAGCTGGGTAGCACTGCTTGGAACTGCTTCAATTTCAATTTCCAGAAGTCCGGGTCTCTTAAGTAGGGTGGGCTGTGGCTGTTTTTAGCTTTCTGAGTGCTCTCTACCTACCCTTTCCTTTGTCCCTTCCACCCATCACTGATGGTAGCTGCTTGCTTCCACCTGAGGAGAACCCCAGGTGACATCTGTTTGGCTGACCTGGGTCTCTATTTATCCCTGAGCACTGGATGGGCTCTCATGCCCACCCTGAGTTAGGAGGACCCAGGTCCGGACCTACTCTACCCTATGAATCAAGGGCGAGTCCTGGAAGTCTGGAAGAGCTGGTCCTGCAGGTGTTCCGTGTATCCTGGTCCCACTCACTAGAGTGCCTTCCTGTGGACTGCCTAAGACCTCCCTGGTAGTGGGAGCTGCACATGTCCAGGAGTGCTCACCTCCAGTTAGCTTAGCAAAGAAAGAGGCAGGGCTGCTGCCAGCTCTGCCTCCAGCCCGATACCTCCATACCACTGAGCTTGCCTGTCCCAAACTGCCATCTGACCATGTCACTTCCTCTGCTCTAGAAACCTCCCCAAGGTTGCAGACGCTGACGGATTTGCCCCAGAGTCGGAGTAGCTGCCACTTGGAGATTCCACAACCATGAGTGGGTTTAACTTTGGAGGTACCGGGGCCCCTGCTGGTGGCTTTACATTTGGCACTGCGAAGACTGCAACGACCACACCTGCCACTGGGTTTTCCTTCTCTACTTCGGGCACTGGAGGGTTTAATTTTGGGACTCCCTCCCAGCCAGCAACGACTACCCCTTCTACTGGCCTCTTCTCACTCACCACACAGGCCCCAACCACACAGACCCCAGGATTCAACTTTGGAACAACACCTGCTTCTGGAGGAACTGGCTTCTCCCTGGGGATCAGCACCCCAAAGCTCAACCTGAGTAACACAGCTGCCACACCAGCTACAGCCAACACTGGCAGCTTTGGCCTTGGCAGTAGCACCCTTACCAATGCCGTCTCAAGTGCTGGGACCTCCAGCCAGGGAACAGCCCCCACTGGCTTTGTCTTTGGGTCCTCTACCACCTCTGCTCCATCTACAGGCTCCACGGGGTTCTCATTCACCAGTGGCAATACATCCCAGCCTGGAGCCTCTGGCTTCAACATTGGCTCTGTGGGTAGCTCAGCCCAGCCCACAGCACTGTCTGGCTCTCCCTTCACTCCAGCCACGATGGTGACCACTACAGCGGGAGCAGCACAGCCAGCTGCTGCTGCTGCTGCTGCTGCGCCCACTGCTGCCACCACCAGTACAGGGTCCACACTCTTTGCTTCTATAGCACCTGCTCCTGCCTCATCCAGTGCTACAGTGCTCTCCCTCTCAGCTCCAGTGACAACTGCGGCTACTCCTAGTGCTGGCACTCTGGGCTTCAGCCTCAAGGCCCCTGGAGCAGCTCCTGGCACCTCCACTACTAGCACCACCTCTACCACCTCTACCGCCTCCACCACAACCACTGGCTTTGCTTTGAGCCTGAAGCCCCTGGTGCCAACTGGCTCCAGCAGTGTAGCTGCTACTGGGACTCCCCTACCTGGCTCTAGCACCGCAGCTGGGACTTCCACAGGTCCCGCAATGACCTATGCACAGCTGGAAAGCCTGATCAACAAGTGGAGCCTGGAGCTGGAGGATCAGGAGCGGCACTTCCTGCAGCAGGCCACACAGGTCAATGCCTGGGACCGCACACTGATTGAGAATGGGGAGAAGATCACTAGTCTGCACCGTGAGGTGGAGAAGGTGAAGCTAGATCAGAAGCGGCTGGATCAGGAACTGGACTTCATCCTATCACAACAGAAGGAGCTGGAGGACCTGCTGAGCCCATTGGAGGAGTCAGTGAAGGAGCAGAGTGGCACCATCTACCTTCAGCATGCCGACGAGGAGCGTGAGAAGACCTTCAAGCTGGCTGAGAACATCGATGCACAGCTCAAGCGCATGGCACAGGACCTCAAGGACATCATCGAGCACCTGAACATGGCTGGCGGCCCTGCGGACACCAGTGACCCACTGCAGCAGATCTGCAAGATCCTGAATGCACACATGGATTCCCTTCAGTGGGTGGACCAGAGCTCTGCCCTGCTGCAGAGGAGGGTGGAAGAGGCCAGCCGTGTCTGTGAGGGCCGCCGTAAGGAGCAGGAGCGCAGCCTGCGCATTGCCTTCGACTAGTCCTGCGTGAATAGGAGGGGCTCCTTGGGTTACAGGACCGCTGGCTTTCTTTTGGGTGGTTGTGCTGTTTGGAGAAACATCCTTTAAGTTGTGCAAGGCATAGCATTCATTGTTATAACCTGTGTGCTCTGGAGCCAAGTGTGAATGTCACTGAGCTCTAGACCAGCATTTAAACAGCAAAGGCAAGTGTTGAATTCAGTGCTGCCTCACGGCAGCTTCAGTTCTAATTCATCCAACTCATCCTTCAGCCACTTCAGTACAGCTGTGACAGTGGGACAGAGTACTCCAAAGGAGATACTGGCCAAGAAACTTACCTGGGGTGGAGATGTGGTGGGTTTGAAAGCCCAAGGTTTCTGCACCTCTCCAGCTCCCCATCTAGCCAATGTTCTCCAGAACCTCTGCCACACAGAGCAGAGTCACGGAGGCACACTGAGCTAACAACTGTTTTGCACTGGCTACCTCTCACCCCTAGATTGTGAGCTTCTATGGCAGGGACTGACTGCCTTTGGGGCCCAGAGTGACAGCAGATTTGCTTCTGGATATGCCAATGTCGAAACCATCTTAGTCACAGTTAGATCCACAGTGTTGAAGACCAGCAGTCTTGTCTTGGTCTGTTTTATTTCCCTGTACTCTATAGCATCTGTGGTCCCTGATCAAATGTTGCTTTTCTAAATAAAGAAAAATGTGTGAAATCAGACCTGCTGTGAGTGTAAGTAGGTAGTGGGGAAAGGGCCAAGACTTGGCAGGGCATTGCTGATGGGATAGCTAGTTCTGTGCCTTTGGGTTGGAACCATTGACTGAGTGAGCTACATGGGCCCAGTCTTCTAGCATCCTGGGGTGGGTGGGCTACAGCTTCAAGAGTCCTGTCCACCCCTGTACACAAGTAGTAAATCATCTCCAATGTGTGCAGGTGTTGTTTGTGATGTCTTCAGCAGTGGGGAACAGGTGATTTCCAGATGCTGGGCTCATGACAAACATTTGACTACCACTCCTACAGCACTGGGGACCCTGGATCAGCAGTCTGAAGATTCAAGAATGGGGCCACACATTATTTCCTTGGATCATGTTGGACTTTAAAGCCCAAGAGAAAGCTGTGGGGGCGGGGCGGGGCGGGGCCTGGGGAGGTAGCTCAGCTGCCAAGAGCAAAACAGCACCCACGTTGTAGCTCACAACCATCTGTAACTCCACTTCCAGGTTACCAGGTGCCCTCTCCTGGGCTTCTTAGGTACTGCATGTACATAGTGCAAGGTATACATGCAGGCAAGCATATAAAATCTCAAAGATTAGAAAGAGAAAGCCTGGCATGGTGGTGAACACCTGTAACTCCAGCATTCTGGAATCATCTTAAGGTACATAGTCACATGAGGCCTTGTCTTGGAATAGATGCAAGGCCAGTGAACTGGAGGGCACAAATCCTAAGAGCCCCAGTGGCCTTTCCGAAATGTGTGAGTTTTTGTTGGGTTTCCCACTCTAGCCCAGAGTGACCCTCTTTGAATTGATATGACCTTGTCTTAGTCTCCTGAGTGCTAGAATTATGGACAAGCCACCACAGCCCAGCTCTGCACTCCATGGCTTGACCCCAGCTGACCATGATGTCATTGTCAGGGTTCAAACAATAAAGATGGTCAGTGTGCATTTCTAATGTGTATGTACTCATTTTGGATTGTATATCTGAATGTAAATAAAGCTTGCCATTTGTGGGTACGAGCTGCATACTAAGTCCCTGCACTAATCCTAGCTGCCTTGTTTTTTAAAAGTAAATTGAAATCATGCCCTAACGGTCTGCCTCACTTTGAAGTAAGCAGAATCCATCTCTGTGTTGGGGGAGTTGGGGAGGTGTGCCCAGGATGGCAACACTACTGGCACCCTGTTGGGCACTTGCCCAGGCTACACTATAATTGCAGTTTCCCTCTCCAGGAAGAACACAGGCAGATGTCCTGCCTCGCTGGCTGGTCTCATCATTAACTATCATGAAGACAACAAAGGTGACTGCATGGGGAACCTCTTTCACATCTCACTGGATAGCCAAGGGCCAGCTGTAATCAAGCATGGTGGGACTAGCCTGGCCTAGTATGAAACTGTCAAGAAAGAATGAAAACAGTAGTGTAAAATGTCAAATAAGTAGAAAGTTATATCCATGTCACATTAAGGAATGAAAAAGAAGACCAAGAGGGAGCCCAAGTTTGAATTCTCCACTTCTTTCCCTGTCTTTACAAAGAGCTCTGCTCTGTATTGAGCAGCACAGAAAACATGGTATGGGGAAGGAATGGGTGATAAGTTTTTACAGAAGTCCATAAAAGAGTTTTCTAAGGAATGACCCAGAACAGGGCTTGAAATTGCACACAGATGTTACCAATCTGTATGCACATATATGCTGTTTCCAGCAGAGTATATCCTGTAGCAAAGCTTGCAACAACTGGTGGGGTGGGAATGTAGGTGCTTTGTATCTTAAGGACCAGGTAAATTTGAAGAGGCTGAGGATGTGGGGTTTTTTTTGTTTGTTTTTGTTTTTCGAGACAGGGTTTCTCTGTGGCTTTGGAGGCTGTCCTGGAACTAGCTCTTGTAGACAAGGCTGGTCGCGACCTCACAGAGATCTGCCTGCCTCTGTCTCCCGACTGCTGGGATTAAAGGCGTGGTGAGGACGTGGTTTTAAAAGGTCTCATGGCATGTTTTTGACTGATTACAAGGTCTGACGAAAGTTCAGCTTCTAAAGGAGACAAAAAGTCCCACAGAAGGGGAGAGTTTAAGATAGTCAATAGTAAAATTATAAATACTGTGTGTTTTGTTTGGAAATGAGGTTAGAAACTGGCCTCAGGCTCCTTATGTGGCTGTGGGTGACCTTGAATTCTGGGTTCCCCTGCTCCATCTTCCAAGTGCTGGCATCCTACATCAGGCTTCTGTGGTGCTGGGAATAGAGTTCAAGCTTTGTGCATACTCCAACTATAATTCTAGGCTGTAACCGGTTATCTGTGTGTGAGGCCTGCCTGTCTTGTGCCGCCCTCCATCCCTCACCCCTACGAGATCTGCTTGTCTCTGCCTCCAAATGCTGGCCTATATTGAAGGGTAGGGATTGACTGCCTGTGTCCTTACCTTCTGTTTGTCAGTAAAGCTTTTTTGGAGCACAACATTATGAAGCAGACCATGCAGGCTAGGTTGTAAATCCTGTCATAGAGAGACATCCTGCAAGAACTGTATGCCTAGGACATGATTCAAAACAGTCCCCTGTCAAAGAAGACAGGTAGAGGGTGAGCAAGGGCTGTGGTGGCATGTAGGTGTCTATTAGCCCAAAGTTTAAGAGACAAGGCAGAAGGATGGCCTCAAGTTGGAGGGCAGCCTAGGACATAGAGTGAGACCCTGTCTCAAAAAACAGAAACAGGCAAGGTGGTGGTGGTGGTGCACATCTTTAATCCCAGCATTCGGGAGGCAGAGGCAGGTGGATCTCTGAGCTCTAATCCAGCCTGGTCTACAGAGAGTTCCAGGACAGCCAGGGCTGTTACATGGAGAAACCTTGTCTTAAAACCCCCACAAAAAAAGGGCACTCTAGAAAATTCTGCCACAGCCTACCAACTGGTCTTCCTCTCAGGACCTGGCTTCTCTGGCTTAACAAGGCAGTAGGACAAAGCTATCACCATTTGCCCTGGTTCTGCCTGCACCAGAGGATGACTTCTGTACCAGGCTGACCAGAAAGGCCATGGGTGCCAGGAGAGCCCCCCAAAGACCAGCATGCAGTGAGTGTCCCCTGTGTGGGGTGGGGAGGCTGGGTGGAGGCCACTGCTGCTTTATTCCTGTCCAGACCTGGGTCTCCCTACCTTCTTGGTGACAGTGAATTGAGCCCACTAGACTGAATGAAACCTGTGCACTAGTGAGGTCCAAAGGCCTCTCCCATCAGCTGTGTCCCCAGGATCCCTGGGAGGACTGAGCCAGGTCTGCCTGTTGGGATGTGGCCCAGGCCCTGCATCACTGTCCCTGTGGATCAGAAACAAACCATGGTTGTCAGGGGATCCCCAAAGCCAGCAGCAGGTGACAGGTACATTTGTGGCCATGACATAGATACTCACACTAGTGTCTGGGTTCCTGCCCTTGCTGCAGGACATGGAGCCTCGTTTGCACCTCTTGTTCCCAGCTCCTGCTCCCTGATCCCATCCCCACATACCCTGCCTTGTTCCCAAGACCCCACCATAACAAGGAAAGGACAGTGTCCCAGTGGTGGCCCAACCTTGATTCCTAATTAGGCTCAATAATACTGCTTGAAACTAACACTGGTATTTTGGAATGTATGTAAATATTTTTAAGATAGGGTCTCACTGTAGCCCAACCTGGCCTTGAACCCCCTGATGATGAGGGTGAGCTGCGATGGCAGATACATGTGCTTACACACACCCTGCCTCTGGATCACTAGCTCGGGATTTGGCAACCCTGTCTGAACCTGTTCTCTTTGCTCCCCAGAGCTCCCAAGGGCAAAGGGCTCAGTCTATTTCAACCAGGGACCCAAAAGCTGTTTCCATGGGGCCGGAGAGGTGACTCAGGTTGAGAACACTGACTGTTCTTCCAGAGGACCAGGGTTCAATGCCCAGGACCTCCGTGGGGGCTCACAACCATCCATAACTTCAGTTTGAGCAGACCCAGTACCCTCCTGTTTGGACACCAGATACACACATAGTACACAGACATACAGGAAGGTAAAACAACCACATAAATGAAAAAAGTCTTTTAATGTAAAACTGGTCCCTGAGTGCCAGGCTCCACCTTTGCCCTTTCTGTGGCAACTTCAGGTTCCTGCCATTGGTGCTGAATTGAATCTGGAAACTGAAGAAGACAATGGTGCTGTCATTCTAGCATTCAGGATACTGAGACAGTTGGGTCACAGGTAGTTGGAGGCCAGTCTGGGATACAAATGCTTGACCTGGGGCCTCCAGCCTACATGGCTTTGAGCTTCTGGCCACTGTGGCTCAACCCACAGATTGTACACATGCACAACAGTACACACACACACTCACACACACACACACACACACACACACACTCACACACACACACACTCATACACACACTCACACACTCACACGCGCGCGCGCTCGCGCACACACACACACACACACACACACGCACACACACACACACTCACACACACACTCACACACGCACCCGCGCGCGCGCTCGCGCACACACACACACACACACACACCCTCACACACACACTCACCCACACACACGCGCGCGCGCGCGCGCACACACACACACACACACACACACACACACACACCACCTCCACTTCGTGGGCTCTGGAGTTTCCCATTTTGTCCCTTTGTGACGCCCCACCCTGGCTTTTTCTCCTGACCCATCTCCCCAACCCCAAGGAAAATTCCCCTGCACCTTGTTACCTCACTTCACCAGCTATGGGTGACAGTGGTGTCATCTGTTCCTCACTGCTTATGGCCTCCTGAAGGCCAGAAACACGCTTCTGGGGACATTTCTCTGAGATGTCAGCCCACAATCTGCTGCTCATCAGTTGGAAGACAAAGATAACAAAGAGGGAGAGACAGGCAACCCCTCAGATAACCCCATGTTCTTGCAGCTACAGCAGCAGGTTCTGGACCTGGCCAGGTGACATGTGCAGGCCCTGGCCTGGCTCTACTGCCACACTGTGCTTTACCGGGAGCCATCATCAGGCCAAGATGGGCACCAGAATGTAGAAGGCCCTGCCCCAAGAACCCAGGTCCCAGTCTTGGATGTGCCCATTTCACAGAGTTGGAGATGGGCCTGGAGAGATGAGGGGAGGCCTAGCCGGTCCAAGACAACAGCCCAGGAAGCCTAGAGCACAGGGACCACCACCACCAGTGCCACCTGGATGGGCAGTCCCCACCCACAGCTTCTGCAGAGCTATTTGGGGCAGGAAAGGAAATGAGCGGAGTTACTTCCTCCTGTGACCCTCTTCCCCTCCCCCAGCATCTGACCCACTCCAGGAAAGCACTTTCCATTCCCCAGGGAGGTGAGTGGGCGGGGCTGGCTGCTTTAAGGGGGGAGCTGCAGAGGCTCTGCTCTGCTGTCCTGTCTAAGAGAGCTGGAGGTACAGCTGCGTGGAGAGTGGTGGCAGTGACTGAACCTCAGAACCTAGGACTGGGAGGCAGGAGGAAGGCAGCTAGGCCAGGGTTTGGAGAATGGTCCCAGGAACTCTGAAGGATCAAGATTAGGTCTGGGGAAATACATGCCCAGAAAGGAAGCAGAGAGACAGGCTAGCAAGGGCGTCCCACCTGCGCCATGGCTTGGCTGGGTAAGTGAGCAACCAAAGGGAGGAGGGGGTGCTGGGATTGTAGGTAACTCCTATGCTGCTGCTGCCTGTGCACTGACCCTCTCCTGTTGTCAGCCCCACGTCTTGTCCTTGTGGCTGCTCTCCTTGGTCTGGTAGCCTCTCTGGACTGGAGGATGGCCTCCAGCCTGAATCCCTTTGAGAAGTGCATGGAGGACCCTGATTATGAACAGCTACTCAAGGTGGTGACCTTGGGCCTCAATCGGACCCTGAAGCCCCAGAAGGTGGTGATTGTTGGTGCGGGTGTGGCTGGGCTGACAGCTGCCAAGGTGCTCAGTGATGCAGGACACAAGGTGAGGCGCGTGCTGCCTGATGTCTGCTGGGAGCCTTTCCTGATGCCAGTGGGAAGTCCTGGGTGGCAGGGTGTGGGGAAGCAGTTGCTTTTTCCAGAGCCCCATTCCACTCACCCACTGCACCCCACTTACCCATCCTGGAGGGAAGACCTACTTCCTCTAAATGTAATTGCCAGAGTCAAAAGGGGGATTTGTGTTGAGGGGAACGCTGAGAAATTCCCAAGAGGAAGTGTCCCCATCACTGAAACCTGGGAGTGAGAATGGGCCTTCTATGCAAAGCAGGAAATCTCCCTACCTTAGGCTGGGAAGCCCCTCCACACTCCATCTGGTGCTTTTCCTGCTACAGTCTTGAAACCTTAACTTTCTGTTGTCCTAGCAGCCCCGTCCATCCTCAAGACAGTCTTTTCTAGTCTAGGTGTGCCTTACTGTGGGCAGCAGGACAGGCAGGGGGCTAGTGTGGGTGTAGTGGGAGCTGAGTCCCTGCTTGCCCAACCTCATCTTTAGGTCACCATCCTGGAGGCAGGTAACAGGATTGGGGGCCGCATCCTCACCTACCGAGATGGGAAGACCGGCTGGGTAGGGGAGCTGGGAGCTATGCGAATGCCCAGCTCCCACAGGTGAGAGCCCACCCAGGCAGCGGAGGTCTACCTCTGAACCAAAGCTTGGCCAGAGCCCACCTCCACCCCTGCCCCATATTCAGCCAACTCCATCCCTGATTCAGGCTCAGCCAATCCCAGCCCCATTCTTGCTCCATCCTAGGTCCATGTTCCAGTCTTTGTTTTGAGGTGCTGTGTATGGAACCTTGGGCCTCAAGATGTACCTCTAACTCTGCTCCAGTGTCCCCTATATTCCCACCTAGTCAGAAGATGTGTCTAGACCTCACTTGGAGGTCCTCAGGAGTTTCGTCCTGGCTAATATGACTTGGCTTAGCATTCTGCAGTCACATGTGGTTGGGCCTGCTCTGCCTTCCAGGAGGCTGGAGTGATCACTCACCTCCCCATTTGTTCCCCTAGCCTGCAATCTGCCTGAGTTCTGGCCCTATTCCCACTTCCAGCTCCCAAGTCAGCCCTCAGGTCCTCAGTCCCCAGCTCCATTCCCGTCCTTAGTGACCCCTTCTATGGTGCCAGGCCAGGCCTCCTCCAAGCAGCCTCCTGCTTCCAGGATCCTGCACATGCTATGTAGGAGCCTGGGCCTCAACCTGACTCAGTTCACACAGTACGATGAGAACACGTGGACAGAGGTGAACGATGTGAAGCTGCGAAACTATGTGGTAGAGAAGATGCCAGAAAAGCTGGGCTACGACCTGAGCCACAGGGAGAAAGGCCATTCTCCAGAGGACATCTACCAGATGGCACTGGACAAGGTGGCTACCAGCTCTCCTGCAGAGCTCAGCCCTGCCCACAAGAGTTCTGTCTCTACTACCACCCTGTTAAGGTCCATTCCGCGCCTCTGCTGATAGCCAGCTGGTGTTTTCTGCATTCTGCCAGCATACCCTTTGCTGTAGCCCCTGGCACTCCCAGGACCCTCCAGCACCTGTGCTACTCTGGGTCCCCAGCTGGTTGCCTTAGACAGGTTCCCAGGCATCACACTCCTGTCCCAGAGGTTCTTTTCACACAGAAGCTAACCCTGTCCACAGCTCCATATGGCTTCCCAGTGCCTCTCAGGCCCATGGGCCAGACCTGCCAGATAGCTTCCCTCCCCTACAGCCACTAGTGATCCAGGCATAACCCTCAGCTTCTGGAACCCCACCTGGCTCAGCCATTATTCCTGAGTCTGCACCCTCCATGTGTCTCTGCCTGAGTGCCTTCCTCCTTACCCAGGCCAAGGAGGGCATGGTAGAGAAGCTGGAGCCTGAAGGGAGAGTGCCAGGCAGGAGAGAGCATGCAGTGGGGGTGGTGGCCGAGCCCCGACATGGCCCTGCCCTCCACACTAGAGAACCACTGTTGCCTGCTGCACCCTATTGGGCTGCGAGAGACCCTCACCTGCTTATGCTCACAATGGTCTAGACACAGTTACTGAGCCTCTAAGGATAACACCATTTCCTGGCACAAAACCAGACACCAATACTACTGACTGGATGGGCAGATGAAGGAAACTCAGTATTTGGGAGGACCAGGAGGCCTATGCAGCATGAACCAAGGGCTGGGGCTTGAAGTGGGGTGAGTGGCTGGTACCACTGCAGCCAGCATCCTCTGACTGTCCCCCACAGGCTCTCAAGTACCTCAAGGTCATGGGCTGCAAGAAAGCCATGAAGAAGTTCCACAGGCACACACTCCTGGTGAGTGAAGCCGGGCTGTTTCCCTATCCTGTCACAAGAGATGAATGAGATCCAGGGCTCAGCTGGGAAGGGGAAGGGTCTGACCAGGGCTCCTTACCATTGCACAGGAATACCTTACTGGTGAGGGCAACCTGACCTGGCCGGCCGTGCAGCTCCTGGGAGACGTGATGTCCAAGGAGGGCTTCTTCTACCTCAGCTTTGCAGAGGCATTGCGTGCCCACAGCTGCCTGAGCGACCGACTTCGGTGAGGGCACAGCAGATGGGGCAAGTCATAGGGAGGGGCAACCTGGGAGAGGCAGGACCAGAGCGGGTGGGGCCTTCCCTAAGAGCCGTGCCTCAACCCGCAGGTACAGCCGAATCGTGGGTGGCTGGGACCTGCTGCCGCGCGCGCTGCTGAGTTCATTGTCTGGCCCGGTGCTACTGAACGCGCCCGTGGTGGCGATCACTCAGGGGATACATGATGTGCGCGTGCATATCGCCACTTCGCTGCAGCCTCACAGCTTGAAGTCGATGACCGCAGACTTGGTGCTGCTGACGGCCAGCGGGCCCGCACTACAGCGCATGACCTTCTCGCCGCCGCTGACCCGCAGGAGGCAGGAGGCGCTGCGTGGGCTGCACTACGTGGCAGCCACCAAGGTTTTCCTGAGTTTCCACCGACCCTTCTGGAACGAGGAGCACATCGAGGGCGGCCACTCCAACACAGACCGCCCAGCTCGCCTCATATTCTATCCGGCCCCGGGCGAGGGCGCATTGCTGCTGGCCTCGTATACGTGGTCGGACGCCGCAGCCCCCTTCGCAGGCCTGAGCACAGAGCAGGCCCTGCATGTGGCGCTCAAGGACGTGGCGGCCCTTCATGGGCCGGTTGTGTACCGGCTGTGGGACGGCACGGGCGTAGTCAAGCACTGGGCGGAGGACCCGCACAGCCAGGGCGGCTTTGTGGTGCAGCCGCCATTGCTGGGGCAGGGGAATGAGGACTATGACTGGGCATTCCCCTATGGTCGCATTTACTTCGCGGGCGAGCACACAGCCTATCCACATGGCTGGGTAGAGACCGCTGTCAAGTCCGCATTGCGGGCCGCGGTGAAGATCAATAACCACGGGTTCAGGCTGGAGAAGCTGAAGCATGCAAGTTTCCAGAAGCAGGGGCACATACACTCAGAGACCAGATTGGATCAGGACGAGGCTGGCCTGAATGAGGAGCAGGAGACCAGGCCCGGGGGACATGTGTTTGTGGAGGCCATCCCTGAGTTGCGGGGGCACGTGTACGTGGAGACCATTCCCCAGGGGAAGGGGCATGTGCATCTACACCCCAAAATTGTCCCCCCGCATGTGCACATGCATGAGGAGCTTATCCCTGGCAGGCGCGTGCAGATGCACGGGGGACACAGGCACGGGACATCTGGTTCCCAGAAGTTCCCGCACTTACACTCCTATTGCAAAGCATCGAGAGTCATCCCTCCCCCAATCCGGTCCCCTCTAGAGCAGGCCACCCACAGTAATAGTCTACAATAAAGTTACTTTTTGTTAAACCCAGAGGCCCAGCTCCCTCGCTCCCTCCCTCTGCACTGTGTCTCTGATCTCCTGAATGTAGGTGCCTTGGGTGCACGACACGTGGGTGAACAGCGCACTGTGCACAGTCAAGTGTAGCTCAGAAGCTATTGAAGGGTAAAGTGCTCACAGGTCCTGACTGGAAGAACAGAAAATCCCCACAGCCTGGAGGGCAGCCTGGGTTATAAGCGAGATCTGAAAAACAAGGCTTGCTAATGACCAGCTCAGTCAAACGAAAGCAAGCAGTTTATTGCCTCACACTGGCAGCTGGTGGGTGGGCGGGATCTGGGACTCCTTGACCTCCAGGAGGACCCCCCCTCCACTTCATGGGCCGGCTTAACATCTCCTGCTCCAGGCCTCCTTCCCCCGTGGGCCTCAGGACCTGCCAATCTGCTAGGAGTCTGCACCGTCGTCGTCCTCAGGCAAGATCTCCAGGCTGCTGTCAGGCTGCGCAACCACATCCTCCCTCGGCGGCCTTGGGGGCAGCGGGGCCCGAGTGGACAGCGGCAGCGGGGATATGGGAGGAGATGGGCTACTGGGCTCTTTTGGCTGTGCCAGCCCCAAGACTTCCTGCACATTGTGTGGCAGCTCCTGGATGGGAAGGAGGTCCAAGAGGCTAGGTGAGGGGTGGAGGTGGAGTCATAAGGGTGGGGAGGTGGGGAAGGCCAGGCGGGTAGGGCCAAAACAATAATTTCTTGGAAAAAAAATAAAAGGTGCTTTGAAAACTTAGAGAGAGAGAGAAGACTCACTGGGCAGGCAGTCAGCTGCCTGTACAGGGCCTCTGCCCGCGTCAGCACGTCTTCCACACTCAGCTTCATGGTCAGCTCATTGATGTGCTGCAGGGAGGGGAGAATAAGGCACACTCTGGGGGTAGAGGGAAGCAGGCTTGCCCCCCCCCCCCAAGATACAGGGCCCAGCTAGGGGAGGCCGCCATGACTCCCTGGCCTGCCACAATCTTCCACAGCACTCCAGGCTAGCACACCTGGATGCTGCAGCACAATAGGAAGGAAGGGAGGGCCCTCACTGGGGGTGGGGGGTGGGGGGTGTCAGCCTCCTCTACTCCACTGCTCTGTAGGTACAACAGTTCCTACCCCACCCAGACACGGCAATCTATTCAACCATCCCAAGACCAAGCACACACACCACACCTAAGTCAAGGCAGCACGAGGGATTCCCACACTTCACCTTAAGGATCTCGTTGGCGCCAAAGCCAGACAGCATCAGCGCATCCCGCTCCATGTCCAAGATGGCACAGGCCACCAGCAGGTGCAGGCTGGGGCCAGGAAGCCCCGTCCACAGCACCTGAGGTATCAGAAGAACCCTGAAGCCCCATTCTGACCTGCCCAGCTCCCCTCACCTCCCAGCCCTTCCGCCAGCGTCTCACCCCAACTGGCTGCCCACCTCCCACAACCGAAGGACATCGGGGAAGGGAAATTCCCTCTTGAACCAGATGAGAAGCCACCGGAAACAGAAGCACAGGGAACCCGAGTCCTGGGAATCTAAAGGAGGACACAGGTGGTTAGCCTTGCCCACAGCTGGTGACCCTAGTCCAGGTCACAGTGTACTCTGCAGTTGTGATAGGCAGATGACAGGCATGAGATCTGCCACCACTGCCCTTTAGAGGAACAGGAACACATTAAAACCATGTACGACACCAAGGAAAGCAACCATGGCCTGTGTCAGAAAGATGGGCCACCCTAAGATTCTTGTCACGGAGTGTGACCAGTCTCAGGACATCCTGTAAGTGCAGCAGATACAACTCTACGTGCCCAGGAAAAGCTGGGTTTTAGGAGGCTTCATGACACAAGCAGCTGTCTCCCTATGCCCAGAAAGGGAAATGCTTATCTAAGGCCTCGCTGCCAGCATGGTCCTAGTTTCCTCAAGGACACACCCAGGGTCTCATGGAGCTCAGGCTGGCTTCAATTCACTATGCGGGTTCTGAGCCCCCTGCTCCTGCCTCCTCCGTGCTGAGATTCCAGGCGTGTATCACTTGCCCAGGTTTCTGCAGTGCTGGTGATCAAACCCAGGGCTTCGTGCATGTTAGGCAGGGATCCTACCAATTGAGGCACGGTTCCTTTAGCATTTCTCTCATTAAACAAGCAACAAGGAACTCACAGCTAGTGTGAGTGCCAATGGCCCTAGATGAGAGGCCAGAGAAACCTCACCTGGCCTAAAGGTCAGGTCACTTGGGACATTTTTCTCATTCAGATGGTCGCACATAGAACCTACCCAGGAAATCACAGAGTGGCTGATCCAGTACCCGAAGAAGCAGCAAGAGCTGCCCCAGCTGCCGCTTCATAGTCTCCTGACTCTCTTCAAAGTTCCCATGCTGCAAGGCACAGGAGGGAGTGTGAGAGCAGTGGGCTGACTGGACGCCTTGGCGGCCCCCCCCGACACGCCCTCCCCCTCCCCCGGCGCCTCACCACAAGTTCCATGAAGCCACAGAAACACCAGAAGGCATCCACTTCGTTCTGAACCACGAAGAGTATTGGGGACAGGAGGTCACTCATGCCCTGGACATAGCCTGGGGACACAGGGTCAGCTGCAACACCTTGAGCACCCAAGGCACCACCTCCTCCCCCATCAGGGCGGCGCTCACCCAAGTCAAAGTGGTACATGCAGTAGGTGAGGAGGATATCATTGAGCAGGCCCAGCCCCGGGTTCTCAGGGCCTTCGTAGAACTTGTTAGTCCTGTCAGTGCGGCTTACGTCTCTCTCTGTGGGGTCCCAACATGGTAGGAACATGAGTAAGGTTAGCTGGCCTTCCTGGCTGGTCACAGGTCCCAGCCCTACTCTCCTGCAGGCTGGCAGCCCTCAGCTTCAGGGCTCATGCTGGAGGGAGGGTGGGTGCTTCCCCAGAACCTATCACTGCCACACAGCCACACAATCTCCCAGTGAGAGCCCACAAGGCCCAGACCTCTTCCCCTGCCCACCACCCAACTCCCACCCGAATGCCCCGGTGGCTACATCATCCATGCAGCAGGGAGTTCTGCCCCCACCCACCAATGTGGCTACATCATCCATGCAGCAGGGAGTTCTGCCCCCACCCACCAATGTGGCTACATCATCCATGCAGCAGGGAGTTCTGCCCCCACCCACCAATGAGGCTACGGTATCCATGCAGCAGGGAGTTCTGCCCCCACCCACCAATGAGGCTACGGTATCCATGCAGCAGGGAGTTCTGCCCCCACCCACCAATGAGGCTACGGTATCCATGCAGCAGGGAGTTCCTTCGCTCCTGCTCAGCACTCACAGACTTCCACTGCAGCTTCATGCGGAAGTACTCGTCCCTGAGGGAAAGGGACATGGGAGTCACGGCCCTGCTAGCATAGCACCCAGGGAACCCCTGGAGAAACACCTGCCCACACCATCGCTCCCCAAGCCCTGCCCTGCCCACACAGGCCACCTGGTCCCTGCCTCTACCTTTTCTCTCTCCCCTAATGTTTCTCCACACAGAATACCCTGTGGGCTTCTGGCAGTAACTGTCACTTCCGCTCCCTCTGCTGGAAAAGCATGCTTAGGGGCATCAAGGCACCCTCAGGTCCTCACAAGGGGTCCCAACATGGCAGGTGCATAACACCCACAGAGAGCAGCTGACAGCCACTGCAAAGCTGTAGGAACTACAGAGTACACAGTGGCTTCAAACCGCTGTCTGTGGAAGAAGCCTCAGTAGAGCTCACACTAGTCCTACAAAACGGCAGGCTTCAAGCCCAAGCCTTAGGGTAGAGATGTCTAAGGGGTGGGGCTGTGCCGTCTCACTCACGTTTTCTTCCGCACATGGGCTTTGTGCTCTTCAGCTGAACCCTCCCAGCTAAGGTACCCCAGAAGGAACTTCCAAGCCTCCCGCCGCAGGCCAGGGCTGAGACCCTGGGGGTGCAATGGAGCAGATAGATCAGGGGGCTTCCTCCTGGCCAGCTGTCAGCCCAACCTAGCCTATATCCACTGACACTTACCCCTGAGAAGATCCGATTTTTCAACTCAGGGATATTGTGCAGGCGACCATCAGGACCCACGTGGCGGGTCCATTCTTCCTCTGTGACTGGAGGACCCCGCTCCACTGTGGGACGCTGCCCCAACTCCACCTGCAGGACACAGGGCAGGTGAGCCCCAAGCACAAATGAGCACCAGGAGGACTGGAGGAACCCTAAAGACCAGGGGTCAGCAGGAAGCTTCCAGAAAAGAAGCCATCTGAGAATAGCAGCAGCCAAGGCCAGGCCTGAGACAAGAGGGTCACGAAGCACAAGGCCAGGCTGGAAAATGGAGACATCTAATCTCAGAAACCACAAATGGTTGGGAAACTAGTTCAGAAGGGGAGTGCTATCTAGTTCACCAGTGAGGGGCTGGGGTCATGGCTTAGTGGTAGAGAACCAGCCTAGCATGTAAGAGCCCTTGGGTTAGATGGATCCTTAGCACAAGAAAAACATCCACCAGGTACACTAGGTAGCTGGCTGGCCCAGTACATGAGATTGCTGTGAAATCACTTCTTATGCAGCTCTAGATACTGTTTTCATGTTACCCAGGTGCCGTGGATTATTATTTTAACTAGACCAAGATGGGCTACATTTGTTTCTGCTGCAGAATATCACTTTCACTATGTGAAGGTGAGTTATTTTTGTTTCTGCTGCATTTGTTTTAAAGATGTAAGGATGTGTTCTTAGTTATGTAAAGATGTGTTGCACCTGTTTTACCGAAGGCTCCTGATTGGCCAAAGAGCTAAATGGCCAATAGCTAGACAGAGAAAGGACAGGAGGGGGTACTAGTCAGAGCGTAATATGAGGAGAAATCTATGCTCAAGAGGAGGAGGGGAGAAGGAAGGACATGCCTGGGGCAAGAAGCCAGTGAAAGTAAGAAAGAGAATACAGAAAGAGAAACAGGCTAATTTAAGTTAAAAGAGCTAGCCAGAAACATGCCTAAGCTAAGCCGAGCATTCAAAACTAATTAAGTCTCTATGTCACGATTTGGGAGCTGGTTGGTGGCCCAAAAGAAAAAGCCTGGTATGCCAAGAAGAAAACTGAGTCCTTGAAGTCATATGCCTGTGTGGTGCAACAGAAAATCCAAAACAAGGTCACTTGACACTTACGCAGGAGATGACCTCAAAACCGGGCTCTGGCTCATCATCTGGCCGCAGAGGAAGGTCAGGGGGGGAGGCCCCCTCAGGGTGTGGCTGTAGTGCTCCCCGGAAGAAGTTGGTCACTCGAGAGAAGCTACTGAAGGTGGTGGAGTAGGGATCCTGGAGGAAGCGCTGGGGATGGATGGGCGACAGGTGTCAGAGCTGTCCCTGCAGATCTCCCTATCACACCCGTGAGCGCCCTGCATCCGATTCCGGAATACTTACTGACACCACATTGGAACTGTCCTGGTCAAAGAGCTGCAGGTGATGGAAGGAGTTGGAGAGGGCAGAGGAATCGTGCGGGAAGACCAAGTAGAGGCGGGGGTCCTGCGGAGAGCTGGGAGAACGGGGACACAAGGAGGCCACAGGCCTTCATGTACTGGGCTAGCCTGGCCATACTTGCTCAAGGTGCTACAGTCCCGTTTTCTTCACCGAAATGTTACTGCAAGGAAAGGCTCCAGACCAGAGCTGGGCCTTGGAGGCCAATAAGGCTTTTGCACTTCTGGGCCCCTGTGACTGCCTTGGGGAAGAGCCAATGAGCAGTTCTGTGGGGATGAAGAGACACCTTCTGTGTGTCAGGAGACTTACTACTGAAGTCCCATTACGATGGGACTTTTCTTCCCACCCTGCCCTCACTTTCAGGCTCTTGTGGCCTACACTGGCCTTGAACTCTGCACCCTCCTGTCACAGCCCTCCAAACACTGGATCTTTTAGCACCTTTCCATTAGAACTGTGCTTTGCTCATTGTCCTGAAGACTCCAGCTGCATCTGCAGAAGGACATGCTGGCTCACAGGTTCAACGCAGGTGCAGTCAGAGGCTTACCTGGCCAATAGCAGGTAGCGACTGAGGACCCGGAGCAAGGCTCGGGTACCTCCCCTGTGGAAATGCAAGGCAGGCAGGGAGCCCCCAGCCTGTGTCACCAGGACCAGGTAGGCCCAGCTGAGGCCTGGCTTGGACCTGCGGATGGACTTGAGCTCCCCCAGGCTCACAGAGAAGGCCCAGGAGCTCTGGGGGCAGCTGGGCTCTGCACCTAGGAGAAAGCAATGTGTTGTTGGTACAGTATGAGTGGTAATGGATAGGGCAGGCCAACTCTGTTTTCTCTCCATACTCTGTCTTCTGAAGCCTTAGTAGAAGCCGCCCTCCACCAGGCCTCTGAGAACTCCGGGCTGCTTAGCATTTCCTTACAAGGAAAGCTGCCTAAAATTAGAAAGAAGCCCGGTGGAGTCTGTACCAGAATATCCCAGGCTTTCCTCAGTCTTCTGGCTATCTCACATTTCATGCCCTCTTTGCTCCAGACCCTAATGGATAGGGCAGGCCAACTCTGTTTTCTCTCCATACTCTGTCTTCTGAGTATGGAGAACATACTCAGCTCCACCAGGCCTCTGAGAACTCCGGGCTGCTTAGCATTTCCTTACAAGGAAAGCTGCCTAAAATTAGAAAGAAGCCCGGTGGAGTCTGTACCAGAATATCCCAGGCTTTCCTCAGTCTTCTGGCTATCTCACATTTCATGCCCTCTTTGCTCCAGACCCTAAACACAAGATGTGGGAAGCTGAGCACGGTGACATACACCTTTAGTCTCAGTACTTGGCAGGAAGAGGCAGGCAGATCTCTGAGTTCAAGGCCAGCTAAGGATACATAGTGAGACCATGTCTCAAAAAAAAAAAAAAAAAAAAGAAAGAAAGAAAATGACCCTGTGATTAGCTACCTGTTAGCTCTTCCACAACCTACAAGCCTAGAAACCTTTAGGAGAATTCAATGTACACCTAGAGCCAAGCCATTATTTCCCAGTCCAGAAAAGAAGCACCTGGAAGCCACCACCTTGATTGTGGAACCATGATAACTAAGCACAAGAAGTGGTCCACTAGACCACTGTGGCACAGTTCCACCTACCTCTCCTGGGCTCTGCCAGGTGGGGCCTTGGTCGCACTGTGCTAATGACAGCCCAGTCAGGTTCATAGCCTGGGTCAAAGGTAGGTTCCTCCTCTGTGGTGCTGGGCTCGACTCCACTTGAGTCCTTGGGAGAAGAGATAAGGGAATGAAGAATTGTGGGCTCAAGGGTTCCAGCCTGTGGCTGGAAGCCCCAACGAGACAGCATTCCTTCAGAACAAGGAGGGAACAGGCAGGAGGGGGCAGGTTGAGGAAGAGTCAGGCTACACCTGAGGCCACAGCACCAAAGTCAGTCGAGAAGTCAGTGACAAGGGACAGGGTCACATCCATACACACTCTCAGCACTCAATGAAGAGCCTTAAGTGATGGCCACTGTCACTATGTTTAACTGTGAGCTCATGGGGAAACTGTTGATGACAGTCCCATGATGGACAGAAAGGATGCTGTAGAGCAGGGCCAGCCAGATGGCTTGGCAGGTAAAATGGATGACCTGAGTTCAGTCCACAGAACCTATGAGGAAGAAAGAATGACTCCTCCAAGTAGTACACACATGAGTAAGTAAATAAATAAGGCCAAAAGAGAGTTTAGAGTTTAGGGCTTGCTGCACCAACAATCACAAAGACCAGAGAGAGCTCAGCACCCTAGTTTCAGCATGTGTCTGCACTGCCATCTTCTGGCTTCTGCATGCACCTATGGACAAGCGCACACACATGCCCAAACACTGACACCACACAAACTAAGTCTTCAGGCTAGTAAGCTGGCTCAGTGATTGCTGCGAGGCCTGACAACATGAGTTCAATCCCTGGACCCATTCAGTGAAAGGAGAGAAACTGCTTCTACAGGTTATCCTGAGTTACACACACACACCACACACCACCACACACACAGAATAAATGTAATAAATAAACCAGAGGGAAAAGACAGCTGCCTCAGACCAAACCCAGGCCACACCCCTTAAGAAACGGGAATCCAGTCTTTCACCCAACAGGGTTCACCAAGAAGCCAAGAGAACCGGACATCAGATCATTTCACAAAGCAAACAGGCTCACAGGTCCCCGAGTACACCCTCTTGAGTGCCTTCCTCTTGAGTGGTGAAGAGAAGCACGGTGCCTACCTTCTTGGAGAAGAGGATCTGGGTCGGGTCTCCAGCCTCCTCCACCGGAGCCCAGTGCAGGAGGACGTCGCTGTCCTGAGGGACGAGGGGAGGACTTAGTTAAGTCGACCGACTGCTCTCAGCCATCAATCCGCAGCTCCCACAGACGCCACCTGCATCCCGGCTCACCTTCTCCACCACACGGATGACACCCGCGATGAGAGAGTCCGGGTCCTGGTGCTTCCTGGCACTGGTGTGCAGGTACACGCCTCCCTTCTCAAATACCACCTAGGAGCGGGCATGCTGAGAGGCAGGGTCTAGGAAGGGGCATGCCCACGAGTGGGGTCCAAAGACCCCGGCTGACCAGCTAGGATGGGGAGTGCCAAACTTACAGGGGAGGGGCTAAGGCAGAATCTACCTATCGACCGTGGAGTGACGGCGTCTTGCTAACTTAGCTCTGCCTAGTGCCTGCGCAGCGGAGGGTGGAAGCCGCCCATCGCGGGGGTCGCCTACAGACAGACAAGCGAGGGAATGAGTCCCCAAGTCTTACCCTATAGCTGGATGCTTCCATAGCCACCGCGGAGGTTCCACTGCCCCGATCTCCTCCTTTTCCGGGTCAGTGTGGTGTCATATCCGGAAAGAACACTCCCTTCCAGGCCGGATAATGGTAGCGCCCCCAAAGCTGTAGAGCTGCAATGGGGGAAACCATCTATCTGAACAGGGTAGTTGAAACGCGAAGCTCCACATCACGTGGTGTGGACAGTCAGGTTGGCAAGGGTCACGGGACAGCGCAGGCGCAGTGCACTACCCTGGCCACGAAGTAAACAAGGAGGAGGACCCGTGGGCTCCCTCCAACAACTCGTGATCGCCGGGAACGCCTCCTGGGCTCTCTCCATATTTCTTACTGGCACGGAAGCCAGTGCTGTGCCATGTTCCTCGAGGGCGATCCGGGGCCGCGGCGGCGCGGGGGCAGCCATGTTAATGCGGGGCACTACCATCTGTTTGCGGGGCGGGACGCCGAGGGGTTGGAATAGCGGAACACAGGAAAAGGTGAGAGCAGCTGTAGTTAGTACCCGAGCTGGGGAGGGCTCGGGATGAGGGGTGAAGGCGTCAGGCCCTGGATGCCATGTTCCCCTTGATTTCTGAGTCACCGTGGAGAGAGGGCCGAGCCACCATTTTTAAGCTGGGCAAACCGAAGCAACAAGTGCTACCATACTGAATCTTTGCCAGCTTTGTGCTAAGAGCGGGGACTAGACGGAGGGAGGGAGGGAGGGCGGGCCATAGGCTTTATAGGCCTATGAAGCCATGCTGACCGCCTCGGCGGGCGGGAGCCGGTTTCCTCCACTTCTCTGTCAGGACGCTTGCCTTCGCGTGTGAGCATGGGCGAGCAGCCCTGCTTGTGGCGGGCAGATGGAAATGGCTTAGCGGAAGTCTTTTTCCATGCTTTCCATGGGCACTCCACTCTTGTCATTGCTCACCGCTTGCGGGTGAAGCTTCTGGTTGCTATTTTGATTTGGGGCATTCAGGATAAGGGAGGCGGAGTGTACACCATGGAGGAGGGGCAACCGCACGGAAGTGACGCGAGAAGCCGCCATGCCTTTTGAGGGCGGCGACGGCGCCGGGCCGGCCATGCTGGCTACGGGCACGTGAGTGGAGGCGGCGTTGTGAGCTGGGGTTTGGGGAGGATCTGGCTTTCCTCGGGTTGAGGGGCGGCGGGCGAGCGGGAGGGCGGCCGTGGGAAGGGCATGGCCTGCGTAGGTCAGGGGGCAACGATCACCTTGCGACCCTTGGCTGAATGCTGAAATGGCTAACGCTCAACCCCTCGTGTCTGACTCGCGACGATTGCTAAACAAGCTTGACTTCGGTGGTGCAAACGGGCTGGGACCCTCACGTTGACGGTGAATCACGTCCATGCGGCTGTGTTTGGGGGGGGTCGCTGGTGGGTGAGGGGTGCCCCTGGGCGGGACTTCCGGTCCTATCCTCACCGGGGGCGGGGTTTCCTGTTTTCCTAGAGAAGGGGCCTGACTTGGCCGCGGGCGTGGTTAGGCCCCCGGGCCCAAGTCTGCGGTGGTAGGATCCTCCTGGGCAGCCCCGCTCTGCGTCCCGTGCTCCAGCCGTTTCCTTCCCCATCTCCCGTCACACCTGTCCTGGGAGGCCTGCACCTCCCTGCTGGACAGCTCCCCCTTGCTGGTCTGTCCCCGAGTCTCACCTCATAGGAGGCCTAGGAGGTCCGAGTAAGTCGCCCTCCTTTGAGCCGCCTTCAAAAGCCACTCACCCGGTTTTCACACTGCTGCTGTGGCTAGCCCCGAGAACTGTGCGGAGGAACTGGGTCCTATCACCCTTTGCTCTCTTTATTCTCAGAGAAGTGAGAACCCAGGCTAATAGCGTCCAGGGTGTGTCATCTTGGACCAGCCACCTATCTTGCCCTGACCCTTATGTTTCCAGTCTCCATCAACTAGGAAAGGTGTGAGATGTGTGTGGGAGTCACTGTGTGCCTCCCAAAGCTGTGGGTAGGACTTGGAGTTTAAGCATACCGTGTAAGCACTGCAGCTCAGCCCTTGTGGCAGGTGTCTGCAGCTTTCTCTTTCTCAATTGAAAGGTGGCATGGGGAGTCTAGAAGCAGGAAGGATTGGAGCTCAGGATTGGTAGAGGGCTCCCGACACAGACTGCCCCTGTCAGTGGCCTTTTGGGCCGGTGGAACAGTCAAGATCTGGTCTTCCTGAGTTTGGAAGTGGAGTGGCCACTGCTGCTGCTTGTTGTAGGAAGTGAGAGGGTGGTTAGGAGTGGTGATCACCTTCTGGTCCAGCATGTGGTCAGCTCTCACCTCAGTGAGTCCGTGTGGAGTCTGAGCAGGCTGGGTTTTTTTTGAGCATGAGTGACAGAAGCACTTACAAACTGCCTTCAGATTTCAGATTCTCTTTGCTGTGATCCTGGTGACCTTGAATCCCTCCAGTGGTGAGGTGCACACTACCTCTCAAGGAGGGTCCTCAGCTGTCTACACGCTCTGGGTTAGTGGGGAAGAGAGACACAGTGGTCCATGGTCATACTACAGTTTTGAGTCAGGCATGGTGAGGACCCGGATCCTTGCCCTTCAAGAGTTCCCTGTGCGGTGAGAAAGCTGTCACAACTCTACAAGCTCTACAGAGCTCTAAACAGCAGGGGCTGAGGAACTGTAAAAGCCAATGGTGTGATTCTGAGCACAGAGCAGCTCCAATCCTCCTTTGCCCACATTTAGCCCAGAGCTAAGCCGTGTCCTAAGAGAGTGACCCTAGCTGGGTGATGGTGGTGCACACCTTTAATCCCAGCACTCAGGAGGCAGAGGCTAATGGATCTCTGTGAGTTTGAAGCCAGCCTGGTCTATGGAGCGAGTTCCCAGGACAGCCTTCAAAACAATACAGAGAAACCCTGTCTCGAAAAACGAGAGAGAGAGAGAGAGAGAGAGAGAGAGAGAGAGAGAGAATGTGACCCTGAAAGCCTAATGGGGAGCTGGGGAGGGAGCATCTCCCTCATCAAATGACCTGAAGGCCAATGAGCTGAGTGTGGGATACATCTGATCCTAAAAACTCTAGAGGGCAGGGTTCCACTGCACTGAAAGAGGCCTGCTGGACCAAGTGAAAGATGGTGGCCTGGCAGTGGCCTGCGTGTTGTGCTACAGAAACCATCAAAGTCACCTGTGGTTTTCATTGAGACCAGTCTGTGTCTGAGGCTGACCTCAAAGCCATGACAGTCTTGCCTCAGCCTCTGAGTGTTGGGATTTCAGGTGTATGCCACCATGCCTGGCTCAAATGTGTATTAACATCCTACATGCCATGGAAAAAGGTGCACATGATATTCATGTGAGTCTTCAAAGACTTTGATCAGGCTGGCTGTGTGGTACTTCACACCTTTAATTCCAGCTACTTGGGTAGCAGAGGAGGGAGGATTGCTAAGGCTACCTGCCAGCCCTGTCTTAAAAAGTACACAGGCTTTGATGCAGCTTAGTTGGTGCTTGCCAGCACTCATGAAGTTCTGGGTTTAGTTCTCAGCACCACATAAACCAGGTGTGTGGTGTGCATGTGTAACCCCAGCACTCAGGCATTGGATACATGAGAATCAGGACTTCAAAGTCACCTTTGTCCACGTAGTGAATTTGTGGCCAACCACCAATTTCAGACCCTGTCTGAAAAAATAGGAAGAACCCAAACTGAAATAACCATAAACTAGCTTGGCTACAGTGCCCATGACCAACAAAGATGAAGACTCAAGACTTTGGCTCCTGTTTGGAACAGGATGGGGCCAAGATGAAACCTAGGGCTGGACTTGATGGTGGCTAATATAGGTCCCAGAGGAAGCCTACTTGGGAAAGGGGTGGAGCTCAGCTGGGGCGCATGCATGCTGTGGGAGGGGAGTTACATTGGGGCAGTCAACCCTCATGGTTGGTAGCGACAGTAGCAGCAGCGCCGCCTCAGCCCCTCTGTCCTGCTCTGGCCCACAGGGCGCGGATGGCGTCTGGGCGGCCGGAGGAACTGTGGGATGCGGTCGTGGGGGCCGCCGAGCGCTTCCGGGCCCGTACTGGCACAGAGCTGGTGTTGCTGACTGCAGCGCCACCGCCGCCACCTCGCCCAGGGCCCTGTGCCTATGCCGCCCATGGCCGCGGGGCCCTGGCAGAGGCCGCCCGCCGCTGCCTCCACGACATCGCACAGGCACACAGGGCTGCTACTGCCACCCGGCCTGGCCCCCCACCAGCACCACAGCCGCCCAGCCCTGCTTCTAGCCCTCCACATCAACCAGCCCTGGCCAAGGATGATGATGAGGAAGATGAGGACGAGCCCACTGAGACAGAGACCTCTGGGGAGCGGCTGGGCGGTAGTGATAATGGAGGTGAGCTGGTGGGGTTGGTGCTGGGATGGGGTTGCTGGTTGTCCTAATGCATCCTTATGACAGTACTCCCTAGCAGCCACACACAAGGTCCAACAGCACATAACACGATATGTTGAACAAACGGCTTCCTTGAGGGCTTCTGGTCTGGCCAAGGAACTAGAGCATGGTTCTCTGAGAGATGCAGGTGTCTCTGGAAAGAAAGCGTAGCGGCTGCTGGCCCATTCGTGAAGGGTGGAGAAGTTTGCAGGGGGGGGGTACTGCGACAGCAGAGGAAGCCAGGAGGTTCCAGGCACCCTTTCTTTACGTGATGTTGGGCTCAGGCATCTCCCATGCCCCATGGAATCCACATTGGGCAGCTGGATTTAGAGACTGTATTGTAACCGCAGGGCTTTGAGGGTATAGGAATTACTTATTTGCTATCAATGCTTACTGCTGGTCACCTCATCCTTCCTGAGAAAGCCAGTATGTCATGAAGAGTATGGGCTCTGGAGCCAGTGGTATGGCCAAAGAGTCTTTCATTTCTCCCTACCAGACCACCTTTTTTTTTTTTTTTCTTTTTTTAAAAACTACTTTGGGTTACATTGTCCCAAGCAGATCTTAAAAGAGGTTTCAGGCCGGGCGTTGGTGGCGCACGCCTTTAATCCCAGCACTCGGGAGGCAGAGGCAGGTGGATCTCTGTGAGTTCGAGGCCAGCCTGGTCTCCAGAGCGAGTGCCAGGATAGGCTCCAAAGCTACACAGAGAAACCCTGTCTCGAAAAACCAAAAAAAAAAAGAAAAAAGAAAAAAAGTTCCATGTTGAAGATAGTAGTGGGCTCCTGATATGGAAGGGGCCTGAGTAACCAGACAGCAAATGAAGAATGTTGAGGCCTGTCCCACCCACAGGACTCTTCATGATGGATGAGGATGCCACTCTGCAGGACCTGCCCCCCTTCTGCGAGTCAGACCCGGAGAGCACAGATGGTGAGGATCCTGGGTTGTCCAAGCCTTAGGAGGCCAGGCCAGGGGTAGAGGGACAGAAGCTGAAGCCTCCCTGTATCACAGACGGCCACCCCCCCGCCGGTCCCCCAGCGTGCCCCAAGCCGCCAGCCTCAGCCCTGCCCACCCAGCAGTACGCTAAGTCTCTACCAGTGTCAGTGCCAGTGTGGGCCTTCAAGGAGAAGAGGACAGAAGCGCGATCGTCAGATGAGGAAAACGGCCCGGTGAGGGGGGGGGGGCGAGACAGGTGGGATGGGCCAGAGTGGCCTGCTGCAGGGAGCCCCCTGCCTTGGCTAATGTGGCTCTCTTCTCAATCCCAAGACCCCACTGTGCTTTAGGAAGAAGGCCCCTTGTCTGTCCAAAATAGTTTTTTTTTTTTTTTGGGGGGGGATGGTCAGATAGGCAAACAGGCTCAGGGTCAGATTAGCTCCCAAGATTCCTTTCTCCCAACACCATTCCGTGTGTGTGGCCCTCTCAGGCTGTGCTGGCCTGATCCTTCCTTCACAGAAAACTCCCTGAGGCAGAGGGGAAAACAAGACACTGAGGGGAACACATAACTTCCTCCAGCCTCCCAGGACCAGGTCCCTCCCCGTATGACGCCCCGCGGGGTTCAAGCCCATAGCCTGTGGGACAATCCGGGCAAGAGGGTTTCTGGGAGGCTGGGAGGCGGCACCTGCCCTGCCCGCTGCCCTGCGCCACTGAGCGTTTCCTCCCTTCGCAGCCCTCTTCGCCCGACCTGGACCGAATCGCCGCTAGCATGCGGGCATTGGTGCTGCGGGAGGCCGAGGACACCCAGGTCTTCGGAGACCTGCCGCGGCCGCGGCTCAACACCAGCGATTTCCAGAAGCTGAAGCGGAAATACTGAGCGGCCGGAGAAAGGCCATTGGGTTTTCGAGCCTTGCTCTGCCCAGCAACAAGACAATTCTTTACGGGATTGGCTCGCTCCGGTTTGGAGTAGGGCTAGTTCTAAAACGCTCAGTGGGTCAACTCCAACTCCGTTTCTTGCCTAGCAACAGAAGCTTTACCCGCATATCCTGGGCTCCTGCCCAAGAGCGGAGCCCAGCGGCGGGACCAGGTGGTGGCTCCGCCCAAGTCCGGAGAGTCGCAGGCCGCCCTTCTTGAACTCCCCATCCCATTGGCCCTGGCCTCCTGGGGGTGTGGCCAAGCCCTCCGGAACCCAGAACTGGTCAGAGGCCTTGAGTTTGTTACACTACTAGGGCTGGGTTTTGTTTTTGTTTTTGCCTGACACTTGTATCCGGTTCCCCACGGGGATAGTCGGGGCCTGCTTTTTTGCGTCTGACGCCCCCATAGGTTCCACCCAACTACTGCCTGTCCATCAAAGTCTGTCCTGCACCCAGGACGGTACCAGCTTCCTGCCCCCGACCCCCTCTCCCCCACGACCCAAACAGGTGCCTAAAAGGGCCCTCTCCCACCCATGGGAGGGGGCCCCACTCTCCGGCCCTGGCCCTGGGTGCGGGAGAGTAGGGTGGGGGCCAGGAGTCGGGAGGGGCGCTCTGAGATTAAAGTTCAACTCTAGTGAGTGTGTGGTATTTACTGTGTGAGTGTTACTCTGAGGCTCTCCTGCAAATAAAAAGTTCGGGGTTTGAGACAGCATTCTGTGACAGGTGAAAAATCTGGTTTTCAGAAGCATGATGGTGGAAGTGGGTGGAAAGCCAGGCTGGGAACCTCCATCTCCCACTGTTCGAAGGGCAGGGGTGAGGGTGGGCTGTTTGTCACCTTCAAACTAGTCATATGGGTCGCCTCCCTTTTATTTTTTCTTTTTTTTTTTTTTTTTTTTTTTCTTTTTTTTTTTTTTTTTTTTTTTTTTTTTTTTATTATGTATACACTGTTCTGCCTGCATGTATCCCTGCAGGCCAGAGAGGGCACCAGACTACATTACAGATGGTTGTGAGCCACCATGTGGTTGCTGGGAATTGAACTCAGGACCTCTGGAAGAGCAGCCAGTGCTCTTAACCTCTGAGCTATCCCTCCAGCCTCTTATTTTTCCTTTTGAGACAGTTTCACTTTGTGGCCTGTACTGCATCCTTAATCTTTGGGCAGTATTTCCCATCTACCCCGTCATGCTCAGCTTTAGTGTATTTGCCCCACGAGGTGGGAGTGATCATTCCGTTTTACAGCAGAGAACCCAGCATCATCGAACAAAGGAAGAGTGTGAAGGGGCCACAGGCTTCCAATGCTAGGGACAAATGCTGGTTTCCTTTGCTGTCTCAGAGGAGTGAAGGCCAGCCCCGTGGCGCACATCTGCCATTCAAGCAACAGGGAGATGGGTTTAGTAGTCACAGGAGTTAACATCAATTCTGCCTCAAAGAACAAACCAAAGCCAGGCATAGTAGCACACACTTTTAATCCCAGCACTTGGGAGGCAGAAGCAGGCGGAAGTGTTTTGAGGTCAGCCTGGTCTGCCAAGCAAGTTCCAGGATACCAGGGCTACACAGAGAAACACCTTATCCCCCCCAAAAAAAAAAAAAAAATCAATGGCCAGCTGTGGTGGCACGTGCTTTTTTTGGTTGTTTTTTGTTTTTCTAGAGATGGTTTCTCTGTGTATCTGACTGTTCAGGAACTCAACTGTAGAACAAGCTGACCCTGAACTCAGATCCTCCTGCCTCTGCCTCCCAAATACTGATATTAAAAGCAAGCGTTACTGTTGGGCGGTGGAGTCCCACGCCTTTAATAACAGCACTCAGGAGACCGGCAGATCTCTCAAGTTCGAGGCCAGCTAGGGTGTTGTGGTGGACTAACATCCAAGCCAAATAATTCGACTGTGCTGAAGATAAGTCCAGTTGGGCTTGTTGACAGCAGGTTTCGCCCATAGAAGGAGGGGGCAAGGAAGGTCATGGGACTTCACCCGCGTTCCCTGCTGTTCCTCACAAGCAGCTATGTAGCTGGGGCCTAGGCAGGGGCTAGAAAATATAGGCAAGGAAGAGGTAGGGGAAAAGACTATCTGTGCAGCGTGGGATAGGTGTGGCCTTTGCAGGTAGCACCACACACAAGTAAGTAAACCCTGTAGGCCCAGTAAATTCACTGGTTCCCCAGAATCATCTCTGATGGAATCATATTTCGGTCTACCCTTCAGACGTAGAAGGGTAGACATTGTGACACTGTTTAGGTCTTCATCCGGAAAGCACTTTTGTTTTTGGAGGTGGGGACAGGATCCCATTGTAGTACTGACTGACCTGGAGCTTGTTATGGAGACCAGGCTGGCCTCAAACTCGGAGATCCGCCTTCCTCTGCCTCCTGAGTGCTGGGATTAGACAGGTACGCCACTACACCCGGGAAGTAACTTTAACAACACGGCTACATCCTGAGACCCTATCTCACCAAAACAGAACAAAACCAAGTAACTGCAGCCTAGGGACCCAAACGCCCCCTAGCAACACGGCTCCACGGCCGCAAGCGGGTCAGGAGCGGCGCGCGCGCTATGGGAGGAGCCAAACCTTCCGAGTCTTTCCCACAACAGTGGTGAGTCTCGGAATGAATTCCGAAGTAATCCCGACCTTAAACTATCCTCTCTAGCTACTTATGGAACTGCTGTGGTAGCCTGGGAAACGTTGAACCCGCCCATGGGCAAGGGGCGGATTTCCGGAGCGGCTCTAGTGGGAAGGCAGGACTTCCGGTAGCGGACCGTAGCTGGCTGCCCAGCGAGTTCGCCTTCGCCACATCCCGGGATGTCACAGCTGGGATCTCGGGGCCGTCTGTGGCTGCAGAGCCCCACCGAGGGACCGCCCCCTATCTTCCTGCCGTCGGACGGCCAAGCCCTGGTTCTCGGTCGGGGACCCCTGACCCAGGTGACGGACCGGAAGTGCTCCCGAAATCAAGGTGGGCGCGGGAGTGAAACTACGGCATCAAGAGCTGCAGGGAAACCTGTGCCTAACCTGGAGTTAGACAGGGCTTTCGGGGAGGGACAGAGCGGATCCGGGAGATTGTCACCGGGTGGAGGAGGATGCTCGCAGCAAAGAGACGCCTCTGGGCAGGATCTATCAGGCCATGCCCAAGACCTAGGTCTACTCAGTGTGTCTTATGGAGCAAGCTGACCCTACAGATTTAAAAAATCGTAGGTCCCGGTCCTATCGAGAGATAAACTGTTTCGGGCCGGGGGTGACACACACCTGTCATCCAGGCACTTGGCTGGTAGAAGTTTAAGGTCAGCCACCAGTGTGTGGCGACTTCTAGGCTACCCTGGGCTACTTGAGGCCCTGTGTTGGGGAAGGGAGGAAAGTGCCTTTTCCTTCGGAAGTGCAAGACGAAGTCTATAGCTGGCCACGCCCCATATGTGATGTAAACCCTGACTCCATCCCCTTACCCTCAGTGGAGCTGATTGCAGACCCTGAGACCCGGACAGTGGCAGTGAAACAGGTACCAGTGTCTCAGCAACGAGTAGCAAGGACTTGGGGTAAGGGGTCGGGGTGGGCCGCAACCCTTCAGAAGGTTAGTAGGTATTCCCTTTTCCACCGTGCCAAACTGGACTCCTTGTGACCTTTCAAAGTTCTGATTGGTAGCATGCAATGAATAGGTGGGAGATTAAGGTCTGACTGGGAGATGGGGTATTGGAATTGGTGGGGAAGCAAGTGTTCCCTGAGGAGTTGGAGCCGACCTTGGTTCCTCCTTTCTTCGCAGCTGGGTGTTAACCCATCAACTGTTGGGGTCCAGGAATTGAAGCCAGGGTTGTCAGGCTCTCTAAGCTTGGGGGATAGCCTGTATCTGGTCAATGGCCTATACCCCCTGACCCTGCGTTGGGAAGAGATTAGCACAACGGGATCCCAGCCAGATACTCCACCAGGCACTCCTCCTTCGGATCCAGTGGACAGGGAGGATGCTGAGCCTCAGAAAAAGCGGAGACGGAAATCATCCCCTGGCTGGGAGAGCTTAAAGAAGTTACTGGTGTTCACAGCATCTGGGGTAGAGTCCCGGGGCAAGGTGAGGCCACAGTCCTGCCGCTTAATACAGAGTTTGCTGTGCAGCCCTGGGCTAGTCTTATCAAAGTCTCTGAGTCTCAGCTGTTTGTTGTGAACAGAGACTGAGGTGCAGGATACAGATCAGGCCCTGTAATCAGTGATGATCAGACCTTTCTTGGATGTGTTTATGGGTTACTCTGAAATGATTAGGCCACAGAAAGTTTGGGGTCTAGTCCCTGGTTGGGCACTCAGTCAACAGAGAGTTTTGAATTTAAATTTTTATTCATTTATTTATGTGAGCCTGCTTGATTTTATGTGTACCACATGTATACAGATGCCTGCAGAGGCCAGAGAGCATTGGGTTCCCTAGAGCTGAAGTTACAGGCAGTTGTGAGCCACCTGATGTGTGTGCTCTGAGCCACTGAGTCTTCTTTTCAGCTCTTCCAACAAAGACGGTTGCTCTTTCTGAGCTGATAATCTTCCAAGAGATGCTCAGGGAAAAGGGGAGGGTGGGACACAGGTCTCCATTAAAGACTGGAAAGTGGGGAGCAGAGGACACAGGAGCAGTGAGGTACTGCTCTCCTGCCTCACTCATGCACACCCTGCAATAGGAGTGTCAAAGGGCCGGTGTCAACTGTGGGGAGAGTCCCTGTTGACACAGGGGAGTACCAAACACAGTACTGCTGTCCCTGTGTTTGGTGATACCAGGTGGCTGCCTTTGACCTAGATGGGACTCTCATCACCACTCGTTCTGGAAAGGTCTTCCCCACTAGCCCTAGTGACTGGAGGTGAGGTGGTGCCTGGCAAGAGGGTGGGAGCTCAGGTCCTCTAGGTTATAAGTCATTGCTGCTTCCCACCGACCTTAGGATTCTGTACCCAGGGATTCCAAAGAAGCTCCAAGAGCTGGATGCTGAGGGGTACAAGGTATGTGTGTGTGTGTATTCTCTAGACTCCAAGAACTACAAGGTGCGGGGCCTATGTGCATGTGTGTGCATGAACACATGCATGTTTGTGTAGAGTTCAGGCTGAGCTGTGGTGTGGTGAGCGCCAGTGTGTCCTTGTCTATCCCCAGCTGGTAATCTTCACCAACCAAATGGGCATTGGGCGAGGGAAGCTGCCGGCAGAGGTGTTCAAGGCCAAGGTGGAGGCTGTGTTGGAGAAGCTGGGGGTCCCATTTCAGGTACAGCCAGGGACACTGAGGGGCTGTGTGGGACAGGGACCCAAAGAGAACATGCCAAGGTGTGGAATGGAGGCCTTGGCTGGGGTTGTGCTGACAGAAATGACCTTGGAAGTCCTAAGCACAAGGACAGTGTAACTTGGCCACCTCCATAGGTGCTGGTGGCAACTCATGCAGGTCTAAACCGAAAGCCAGTGAGTGGCATGTGGGACCATCTGCAGGAGCAGGTGAGCATCCTCCTCCCTCCTATGTGGTCATTCCCAGCCTGGCTCCTGGTGACCTGCTGCCCTCGTTCCTTTGCCCTTCCTGGTCCTTGCCAGCTGTCGAGACCGGCACTCCCAATCTCTGAAGAGCAGAGTAGCTGAGAAGTCGCATGTCAGGGGTCTTGCACAGCACACATTGGGAAAAACTACACAATAGAGGCCTAGTGGTGCAGGGTACCAGGTTCAGCATGTCCAGG